CAAAGTTTGAACCTTTACTTTTCTATTCTCTCACAGATGGTGAGGACACGTGCTACCGGATCAGCTAATCAAACACATGCACCCCCTGGTAGAACCGCGAGAGGTCGGGGCCAAGGAGGGGCACGTGCTACGTCTAGAGCACCTGGTAGAGTAGCAGCTGCGGAGCCTGCAGTAGGTCTAGTAGAGGATTAAGAGCCCGAGCATGTTGAACGTACACCTGAGCATCCTATTGCTACACCGGGGCTCCAAGAGACCTTGGCACACAACATGAGTATGTTTGGGAGTTTGGCACGGGTAGGGTTGATTCCAGTCGCACCAGCTACTTCACAAGCTGGGGGATGAGCTAAGACTCCCACCGCCCGTACACCTAAGTAGTCGGCTTATGTTTATCAGAAGTCGGGTATTGTGCTGGTGCATCTAGTAGTTGCAGTTCAACCCGAGGTACGGCCAGTTGTGTCGGCTGAGGGGCAAAAGTGTACGTTTTATCCGATAGATTTTGATTCCGGGTATAAACTCTTTCACAATCTACCCTTTACTATGAGGTTTTCATAAGAGAGGGCCCTTATGTTTACGGTGCTCTTGAAGATGACGTCTCATGTTCATTTTTGCACTAGCATTTAAATTTTTTGTTTAACTTTCAAATGATAAAATTAACTCATCATTTGGACAAGAAATAAGATAAAAATAAAAGAACTTTGTTTTATTCCCGCTATTTTTAAAAGTGCATAGGCATTCGTTTGCTTAAATAAATAAAAATGCCAATACATGTGGCTAACTTATACAACTTATTTCTACGGGGCTGATCATGCAGTCCCTGCTCTTGATGAAATACTGATTCTGGTTCTCGCAATTCCCGATTTTTGTGGCACTCATGGTGCCATATCAGATATTATTCCCCCTCCCTCTAGAGTTTGAATGCGAGGCATGCGACTTCGAACACTGGAAGTCTTGTGCCCAGATTATTGCTTCACCGGTAGAAACAACTTGTGAACGGTTAAATAATCTTTCTTCAATAATGGAAGGCAAGGCTTGCCATCGAGCCAAATGTTATTTAACCATCCAAATAGCCGTTTACCATAAATTTGAACATTTAGAGCCTTGATATTTAAAGGTATTTCCTTTGCTGATGATGCTCCCTTCGTAGTATGCTTTTCGTTGCTGCCTCGTCAAAAACCTTGCCAGAAAACCCGATTGGTACAAAAACTGGTTGAAGGGAAAAAGAGTGAAGAACATACTTTCAGTATTGGCAGGAACTATCAACAATAGTACCATTTGAGGTGAGTCACGTTCCAGTTGCTGGGTAATTTGAATCCATCTTGATTTTCCAACTGATATGATCCTTTACCAATGATAGCTAAAACCTAGTAAGGACCTTCCCAAGTTGGTCCCGACTTCTCTGAATTGATTTCTCGAGTGCTCTAAGTCACCTTCCTTAAAATCAAATCTCCTACCTTGAAATAACGGAGATTGGCCCTGCGATTATAATACCTTTCCATCCTTTGTTTTTGAGCTACCATCCTTACATACGCCAAGTCCTGGTGTTCATCGAGCAAGTCTAGATTTACCAACAATGCTTCATTGTTTGCTTCTTCGTTTGTTCGAGAAAACCTCAAAGTCGGTTCCCCCACTTCCACCGGTATTAGATCTTCTGCACCGTACACGATAGAGAAAGGTATTTCTCCCGTGCTTGACTTCGCCGTTGTCTGATATGCCCATATCACACCCGGTAGCTCATCGAGCCATTTTCCCTTAACATCTTCCAACTTGTTTTTTAAGGTTCTGAATAATTACCTTATTGGTCGACTCTGTCTCTCCGTTAGGACTTAGGTGGTACGGTGAAGATGTAATTCTCTTGATTTTTAAACCTTCCAAAAACTTTGTGGCTTTTGAACCTAGGAACTGCGGCCCATTATCAAAAGTGATTTCCTTCAGAATTCCAAATCGGCAGATCATGTGGTCCCATATGAAGCCAACCATTTCACGTTCTTCGACCTTTTGGTAAGGACATGCTTCAACCCATTTAATGAAGTAATCAGTTAAAACTAAAAGAAATCATACCTTTCCGAGGCTCGGTGGAAAAGGACCAACAATGTCCATCCCCTATTTCATGAATGGCCACGGGGACAACACTGAATGCAAAAGCTCTGCTGGTTGGTGCACCAACTATGCATGATGTTGACATTTGTCACATTATTTGAGTAATTCCTTCGTGTCATGTTCCATCCGCGTCCAATAATAACCTGCCCGGATCAATATTAGAGCTAACGAGTCTGCACCAGAATGATTCCTGCAAACTTTTTCGTGGACCTCCCTCATCACGTATCCGCCTCCGAGGCCCCCAAACACCAGGCCCATGGTCCTTGGAATGACCTTCTGTATAACTGTCCATTTACCAGGCAACAACGAGCTGCTTTGGTCCATAGTGCCCGAGTCGTCTTCAGGTCTTCGGGTTGTTTACCATGCCGAAGATACTCGATGAACTCATTCCTCCAGTCCCAGACTAAGTTGGTTGAATTGACTTCATAGTAGTCGTCCACATCCAATACCGAATTTAGAAGTTGGACGACAGTACCAGAATCAGATCTTTTCATCTCCGTGGATGACCCCAAATTAGCCAATGCATCTACTTCCGCATTTTCTTCCCTTGGAATGTGAATTATTGACCATTCCCTGAATCGTGCAAGCAACGACTAAACCTTGTTCAAATATTATTGTATGCGTTCTTCTTTTCTGTTGAAAATCACATACACTTGGTTTACCACCAGCTAGGAGTCACATTTTATTTCGATGAACTCGGATCCTAGTCCTCGGACTAGTTCAAGTCCTACAACCGAAGACTCATACTCGGCTTCATTGTTAGTTAATGGAACAATTTTAATGGCATGCCAGGGTTTCCCCCGAGGGTATGATTAGAACCACATCGAGACCGGACCTTTTTACGTTGGAAGCTCCTTTTGTAAACAAGGTCAAAACTATTGATGCCATTTCCGACACCAACACTGCTTCCTTAGGATACAAGGGCCTTAACCCGAGACTGAAGTCGGCCACAAATTTGGCTAAAACTTGCGACTTGATTGCAGTCTTGGTTTTGTACTCAATGTCAAATTCGCTAATGTCGACTGCCCATTTAGCCAAACGGCCAGACAATTCAGGCTTGTGAAGGACATTACTCAAAGGAAAGGTTATCACAACAACTATCGGGTGGCACTGAAAATAAGGCCTAAGCTCTCGAGAGGCAATTACGAGAGCTAAGGCTAGTTTTTTGAGGTACGGATAACGAGTCTCTGCTCCCAACAGTATTTTACTAACGTAATAAATAGGAAATTACGTACCTTCTTCCTTTCAAACCAAAATGGCTCTTACCGCTACTTTCGAGACTGCTAGATATATTAACAATTGCTCGCCTTTCCCCGGTTTTGACAATAATAGGGGGCTGGACAGGTACCTTTTTAGGTCTTTCAATGCTTGTTGGCATTCCGGAGTCCATTCAAAATCTTTCTTCTTTTTCAGGAGTGAAAAGAAGTAATGGCAAGTAATGGCACTTTTTTGAGGATCTTGAGATGAACCTGCTTAGAGCTGCCAACCTTCCGGTCAATCTATGTACTTCCTTCACACTTGTTAATTGGTCCGAAATGTCCTTGATAGCTTTGATTTCATCAATGATTTACCTCGATCCCTCTTTGCGAGACCAGGAACCTCAGGAACTTACCGAAACCAACCCCTAACGCATATTTCTTCGGGTTGAGTTTCATATTATGCTTCCTCAGAATGTCGAAAGTTTCTTGAAGATGTTTCAAATGATCTCTTGTATTTAAAGACTTGACTAACATGTCATAAATGTATACTTCCATTGTTTTTCCTATCTGATTCTCAAACACTTTATTAACGAGCCTCTGATAAGTGGCTCCGGCTTTCTTAAGCCTAAAAAGCATCACATTATAACAATATGTGCCGAAGTTTCTTATGAAAGAGGTTCTTTCCTGATCCTCCGGGTTCATCTTATAGCCCGTTTGGCCAAGCTTCTAAAATCAGCTTATTTTGAGAAGTGATTTTCTCAAAAGTACTTTTTAAAAAAGTACTTTTGGTGAGAAGCAGTTTGTGTTTGGCTAATTAATTTGAAAAGCACTTTTGAGCAGTAATTAGTGTTTGGCCAAGCTTTTGAAAACTGCTTCTAAGTGTATTTTTCTCAAAAGAGCTTCTCAGAAACGTTCTTTTGGAGAGAAGCTACTTTTTTCTGCTTCTCCAAAACTGCTTCTGCTTCTCCTCAAAAGCATTTTTTTTCCTTCCAAAAGCTTGGCCAAACACCTCAATTTTTGGCCAAAAGTGCTTTTGGCCAAAAAAAGCACTTTTGGCCCAAAAAAAAGCTTGGCCAAACAGGCTATTAATCTAATTGTACCCAAGTATGTATCGAGGAAACTCATTAGCTCGTGTCCGGCCGTAGCATCAATCATTTGATCAATGTTCGGCAATGGGATGAGTCTTTAGGGCAGGCCTTATTTAAATCCTTGTAGTGTACGCACATCCTAAATTTGTTATTCTTTTATACAACTACGTTGGCTAACCATTCCGAATATTTTACCCCCGGATTGAACCAATATTGAGTAATTGGGTTACGTCTTCTTTAACAAACATGTTCCTAACCTCAGGTATTGGGCGTTTCTTTTGCCTTACCGGTGGAAAATTTGGATCCAGACTTAGCTTGTGAACTACTACCTCTAATAGGATACCTGTTATATCCGAGTGCGACCATGCAAAGTTGTCTATGTTAGCTTTATGAAAATTTATAAATTCTAACCTAAGCTCGAGATTTAATCCTGTTCCCAAATGAAACTTCCTTTCAAAAAATTCTTCGAACAGGGCCACTTGCTCGAGTTCTTCCGCGTTCGATTTGGTTGCATACATCTCCTCTGTACCTATCTCAAAACCTGATGGGATTCCGATGACTCCTCGCTTTTATCGTCTTCATTCGGAAAGGGAGATGGCATCGATTTCTGTAATTTCTATTTGTTGGACTCTTTTCCTTTGCTGCTGGAAATAGTTACCGCGTTCATCTCCCTTGCCGCCAGTTGATCTCCTCTTATTTGCTTGATCCCTTTCGGCGTTGGAAATTTCAATAACCGGTGATATGTTGAGGGTGCGGCCTTCATCTCGTGTATCCATGACCTTCCGAGGATTACATTGTACCCCATATCGCCATCCACCACTTCGAATATAGTGGTCTTCATTATTCCCTCGGCATGTGTAGGCAGCAAAATCTCACCTCGGGTCGTCACGCTTGTCAACTTGAAGCTAGCTAAGAGTTTTGTCGCTAGAATGATGTTCCCGGTTAACCTCGCTTGCTCCAGCACTCTCCATTGGATGATGTTGGTTGAGCTTCCTGTATCAACTAGAACACGCTTAATTTTGTAATCTAAAATATTGAGAGGGATTACCAAGGCGTCATTGTGCGGCAAAAGAAGTCCGTCAGCGTTGAAAGTACAAGAGGGGGGGGGGGGGTGAATTGTTGACTAATTAAAATTTGGTTGACTAATACAAGTATTAGTTGACTAATCCAAAGACAGAAAGAGCGAAAGCAGTAAAGAGAAATGATAAGGCACACAACGATTTATACTGGTTCGGTACCGTTGTGGTACTTACATCCAGTTTCCCTTGGTTAACAAGGGTTTCCTTAAGATCTTTGAACAAAGTTACAATATTGATGGTTTTATCGCGTTTACCACCAACGTATAGTATCAACACTTGAGTTCTAATCAGTTGACACAACTTTCTTTTGTATTCTAGATCACTCTATCTTTTGAGACACTTATAACTCAGAATATAGTGTTTGATCTTCTTCTTGAGGGATCAACCTTCTTATAAGAGAGTTTAAAGAGTCGTTGAGTCTTTTTCGAAATTAGAGGCACAAGATCTTTAATTAAGGGATTTGACCCAAGGGGTGCCTCTTTGAATCTTGCCCTTTGACTAGCCCAGATTTGAATGTGACCTTCCTTGTCACAGCTGAATTCAAGGAGACGTTTACGCCTGGAGAGATAACTCACGAGCGCGATCTTCTAAAATAGAGTATCCATGATTGGCAATCTGAGTTCCCTTGATTGAGGACGAGTCAATCTGCTTCTTGATTGATCATTAATGCGGTAGCAATATCTTCATTCTTTTCTTACTTGCTATTTTGAATCCAGTAGCAATCTTGCTGAGCATCTTCATTCTTTCCTTTTTGTTTGTCCTGTAAATATCACATAAGATAATATTGTCAACATTGAAACTTAAACTTAAACCTATCAATCTCCCCCTTTTTGATGATGACAATCAAGAAGGAGTAAACAAAGTAAAGTAAATTAAGATACTTCCCTTTTAAGGAGTTGCTCCCCCTGAGCTAGTGCCCTTGAGATTATGATGTTCCTATGTTTCGAATGTTGTGCCCATATCTCCCCCTGAGTGTTTACTCACACATTTTCTCCCCCTTTGACATCAATCAAAAAGGAAAGAGTAACGGAAACAAACACAGAGCAATATAATGTACATACTAAAAGGGGTTAGAGCAGTAGAGCCTTTAGCAGAGGCTTAAGTTAGTACAGACCAAAAATTAATTGTCTAAAGGCCACCATAAAAAAACAGCAAAAAGAAACACAAGTTTGTTTGTCACAACAGCACAACCAGAGATAATTAATGACGTCCCAGAAAGTATTTGAGGGTGTTGATCACTTTGGTTCAGAAGGAGTCATAGGAGTTTTCAACATCCCTGACGAGCTTGTCCATCTTTTTAGTCATGGAATTGAAGGCCCTGGTTCCATGTCTCTTTATAGCTCCTATGTCTATCCGAAGTTTTGCTACGACTGAACCTGTCTCCTTAGTGACATCTCTGATCTTATCTACCTGTTCTTTCATCTCCACAAATAGCAGCTTGACTCCATCAAGGTGTTGTTGAATTTGTTGAAGGTTCAGAGAGGTAGTCGACTGAGAGACTGGCTGATCAGCTTGAACATCAACCGGAGCTGGAGCACTTTCAACCTTGGCTCTCTTAACCCATCCACTTTCACCCAATGAGTATCCCATCATAGAAAATGCAGTCTTATCATAAGTACTTGAGATGTGCTTGGGTGTGAAAGGTGCCAAGTCTTCCTTCATAACTTCCAGGATATGAGAGATAAGAATACCATTAGGGCAGACAAGCATCAGAAAAGGAAATATCCCTGATACTCTCAAGCATATACTGACAAATCCACACAAACCAATCAAGACGCTTGTTGACTAGACAGTAGAGAACAAAGATATCTCTAGTAGACAAAGAACTTAGGGACCCAGACCTGGGAAGGAGAGTGGTGGCAATTATGTGGGCCAAAACACAGTGTTCAAACTGTAGATTTTTGGGGCCAATGTCAGCGGGGGTTATCAGACAAGAAAGTTTTTGCTTCTTCAAGAGACACTTCAAAGTCTTTGGGCCAAGAATTTTGGACAAACACATCATACCCACTAAATTTGGCGGAGAAAATCTTTTCAAAGTGGTAGGAGTCCAACACAATTCTAGTTCCCAAAACCATAGATTCTAAGTCATCCTTATCATTCACAAACAGATTTGTATAAAACATTCTCACAGGTTCTTCATACACAGAATTTCCAAGAGTGTCAAACAAAGGGGAAAGGTGCTGAAAATCGAAAATTGCAGTCACATCACAATTAAGACTTTGCATAAGAGAGAGACTTACAGAGCATCCATAAGCCATGGATTTTGACTTATAGGACTCAAACCTTTCCTTTTCATTGGGGCCATAGAAGATCAGCTTGTCTTCTGGACCAAATTCCGAGCGTTCTACCTTGCCCTTCTTGCATGCAACCTTTTTGGGGGTTTGCTCCATGGGTCTTTTTCTTGCCTTTTTCTGGCTGATAGGGTGATTTTCAAATGAGGCACTGCTATCATTGTCTATTTTGAGAAAGTATGAGTCAATGGATGATTCTACATCCACAAGCTCTTCTGTATTGAGAGGTTTTTGAAACCTACGGCTTCGTCTGGTTGCAGAGGAAGGGTTTCTTTTGGCCATGGAGAAATTGGTGGTTTTGTAGGGAATGAGAGGAGTATTTGGAGATGGAAGGTTTTCTTAACAAGAGTCTTGAGAGGAGCGAAAGGGCGTCTTGGTTACTGGAAGGATCAAGTACAGACGGAGGTGATGGTTCTGAATGACGGCTTGGTGGTACAGGTAATAATTACACCTCCACAGTAAAAGTAATTAGTACACGAATAATTTAGGAAATAAAATATACTGAAAGCGTGTAAAATAATTTAACCATGTATAAAAATATTTGGTTTACAAATTTGGCAAAATGCCAATCTTTTTTCGAAGGATGCAAAATCTTTCTTCCAAAAGAGGTTTAGTAAAAATATCAGCAAGTTGAGAATCAGTACTAATAAACTCTAATGTAATATCACCTTTTGCAACATGATCACAAATAAAATGATGTTTAATTTCTATATGCTTTGCTCTAGAATTATGCACAAAATTTTTAGATAAGCAGATAACACTGGTGTTGTCGCAAAAAATAGGAGTAGCAGTAAGACATAAATCATAATCAAGGAGTTGATGCATAATCCATAAAGCTTGTGTACAATAGCTTCCAACAGCTAGGTATTCTTCCTCAGTCGTTGAAAGTGCAACACAATTTTTTTTCTTGCTATGCCAAGATACTAAGGCATTTCCCAGCAATTGACATATCCCACTGGTACTTTTCCTATCAGTTTTGTCTCCTGCAAAATCAGCATCTGAAATGCCTCTCAAGGAGAAATTGTACGCCCCCGTGAGCTTTAGCAATATTGTTAATCAATTCCATAATAAGTACCGTTTTACCCACTCCAGCTCCCCCGAATAGTTCGATTTTTCCTCGCCCTTTTACAAATAATATCTCATGGATTTGTTGGTGCTGCACTTTTTTTCTTGGCGGGAACGCCAAGTTTATCAACTTTTTGGAAAATGATAAAAAGAAGGATAAAATAGATCCTAAATATTTGTAATCAATCATTTATCACTTCTGAGCCCTTCCTTTACTTTAGATAAAGAAATAAAGGAGTGCAGGGCGGACGATTTTAAAGCGGACAGTATGATCATACCATAGTCCTAATTCAGTAGTACCAATTAAATATCTAAGTATGCGTTTAACCGCAGTCAAATGGGATTCCTTAGGAGCTGACTAAAATCTGGCACATTTACATACACTAAACATAATATCAGGCCGACTAGCAGTTAAATAAAGTAGAGATCCAATCATTCCTCTATACATGGTTTCATCAACCATTTTTCCATTGTTGTCTTCATCTAGCACAATAGTTGGACTCATAGGAGTGCCGATAGCCTTAGCATTTTCCATCCCAAACTTTTTAATAAGCTACCTGGTATACCTGATGAAAATTCCTTTAGGAGACTGCTTGATTTGAAGTCCAAGGAAGAATGTTAGTTCTCCCATCATGCTCACTTCAAATTCACCTTTCATGGAAAGAGCAAATTCTTCACAAAGAACAGTGTTAGGGCTACCAAAGATAATGTCATCAACGTAAATTTGAGTAATGATATTACTATAATTTGATTGCTTAATGAAAAGAGTTGTATCTACATTACCTCGTTTGAAACCTTGATTTAGAAGAAAAGAACTTAACCTTTCATACCATGCTCGCGGAGCTTGTTTGAGACCGTACAAGGCTTTAGTCAGCTTGTATACATGGTTTGGAAAAGTGGTATTTGCAAACCCAGGAGGTTGCTTCACGTATACTTCTTCAGATATATAACCATTTAAGAACACAGTTTTGACATCCATCTGATATAGTTTGAATCCTTTGTGAGCGGCAAAGGCAAGTAGGATTCGAATGGATTCAAGCCTTGCCATATGTGCAAAGGTCTCATCATAGTCGATTCCTTCTTGTTGAGAGTAACCTTGAGCCACCAGTCTTGCTTTATTCCGAACGACTTGGTCTGATTCATCCAATTTATTTCTGAAAACCCATTTAGTCCCAACAACTGAGGAGTTTTGAGGTTTTGGAACTAATTGCCAGACTTTGTTTTTCTCAAACTGATCTAATTCTTCTTTCATAGCTTTGATCCAATGAGAATCCTTTAGAGCTTCATCAACCTTCTTGGGCTCAAATTGAGAAATGAGATCTACATGAGATTTGTTCTTTTGAGATCTCCTTGTAGTTATTCCTTCATGTGGATCTCCTATAATGAATTTGTGAGGATATCCTGGTTCGTTCTTCCATTCATTTGGAGTATTTGCTGTAGAGATCTTTTCTTTGTTAGTCGACTGATCTGGTTGAGATAAGTCAAGATCTTCTAGAGGAGCTTCAGCTGGTTGAGTCTGTAGATTAGCTGACTCATTTTGATGATCTTTACCTACAATAACAGACTTTGGAGCACAAGAAATTTCCTCATCTTCAGGAACATGTTCATTCCTTGGGCGAGGGTTAGTATCAATAAAAACAACATGAATAGATTCTTTAATACACAAGGTTCTCTCATTATAAACTCTGCAAGCTCTACTTGAGGGAGAGTAACCAAGAAATATACCTTCATCAGTCTTTGGATCAAACTTGCCCAGATTATCCTTTCCATTGTTATAAACAAAGCATTTGCATCCGAAAGGGTGGAAGTAGCTGATGTTTGGTTTCTTATCATTCCACAGTTCATAGGGAGTCTTTTTGAGTATAGGTCGAATGAGACACCTGTTAATGATATGACATGCTGTACTTACAGCTTCTGCCCAGAAATGATAAGGTAAAGAGTTTTCCACTATCATGGTTCTTGCCATATCCTGCAAGGTTCTGTTATTCCGCTCTACTACACCATTCTGTTGAGGAGATCTTGGTGAAGAGAGATTATGGGAGATTCCTTAACCATTGCAGAAATTTTCAAATGCTCTACTTTCAAACTCTCCTCCATGATCACTCCTGATGGTAGAGATGTAGTAACCCTTCTCACCTTGAACCTTCTTACAGAAAACTTCAAAATTCTTTAAGACATCATCTTTATGACTATGAAATATAACCCATGTAAATCTAGAGAAATCATCTACAATAACAAAAGCACATTTGTTACCTCCTATACTAGCAGTTCTAGTGGGGCCAAATAAATCCATATGCAGCAGTTGAAGAGGTTTAGAGGTTGAAACAATGTTTTTGACTTTAAAAGAGGATCGAGTTTGTTTTCCTAATTGACATGCATCACAGA